TTACGACTTTTTTTTGAGATATAAGTGCAGTAATAGGTAACAAACTGCAGTTGAGATTTCATCAGAAATGTTTGATTTTTGATGTGGGTGTTATCTACTTGTATATACAGTTTCTATTATCAATTTTTTATAGAAATTCCTCTTTTTTTTAAAGACAAAAATCGTGTTATAAAGATGGTGTATATGGAGAGATTTCATGAGGAAAAGCTCAACACTCATACAGCTAAGAGAATGTGAAAAATAATGAGGACAATGAATTAATTGTATGATAAACATAGAAGGAAAATACTAGTCAAAACAAAATTGAAATTGGGTAATTTTTAATAGTGTGAGGACTCCTAAATTGCTTCCACAGGCCGCTATTGGCAAACTTTTTTTTTTCCTGAATCATCTAAAGCTGCCTTAGACAGCATATCTCGGAATACGTTTTTTGTGAATAACCTTCATTTCTGAGATGTGTCAAAGTCTCATGCGATGGGAGTATTTTTGTCTTTCCTGTCTTCCAAAGGCAATTCAATAAATTACATTTCCACACCTGCTAAGTTAGAAATTGTATATTCCTCAGTATTGCATAGGTAAAGTATCATCTGAGCAACCATGATCAGTATCGGCATGAAATCGTATTTTCAGATGTCATTTATGCTTGACATATTTCAGTTCAATATAGTCTTGCCTTTCTGTGTAAGACAGTTACAGTTAATAAGATCATCTTTTAAAAAAAAGTAAGAATCACAACAAAAAACCTCTACAATTCTAAGTTTCTGTAAGTCGTGTGGTGAGCTTGCTGCCTCTAGTACTACATGCTGGTATAGAGCTGCATGGTTGGACACAGCTAGCTGTTCTGCATGCCACAATATCCCTTCTTGTGCCCCAGCACTCCCTTTTCCCAGCTCGGGGCAGTCTTTGCCACCCATAGTTACTGACTATACATGACACGTAGCACTGGCATTTCAGAAAACAATCTGTGCCCCATGTTGCTTACTACATATTATCCATAAGTGTACTAGCATTTGCCATCTAGGGTGCCATCAGTGCTGGTAGTGTATCTGAAAGTCAGTAGCACTTGTAGTCTTTTTCCCACAAAGAAAACATGCGAGGGAAGAGTGAGTGTTATTCCCAATCCTTGTTTTTCGTCATCCCTTAAAGGCAGTCAGGACTTTATTTTGAAGGCTTTTTTTCTTTTAAAAGAAAATACGAAGTATTTGAGGGGTTGTTTAAAATGTTTGCCAGAGGTTATAGTCAAGGATAGGAGGAGAGTGTGTGTGTTGGTTGTGAGGAGGGAGCTTTGTCTATATTTATCTAATCTTGGATATTGTGGACTGGATACTTCATAAAGTAGTATACCTATCTGGTACTTTGTTAACTTTCATATTCCCTCTTCTCTTGGTATGTAACACCTCATTGAACTTGGAAACTTACCGGTGCAGGATGTTACGATACCAAGTATTAACATGATTTCAGAAAGCAGCTATGATGTGTGAGAGCATGTGGAAGGTGCTGAGAACATTCTTCATTATGAGCCTCCATCAGTGGACCTGTCAATGCTGAAGGGATAATAAGTGAAGAGGGAAGGAGTGAACAAAAATTCAGAGAGGAGCAGAGCTAGTGGACAGGGGATAATAGGCAGTGACAAAGACAGAAGGTCTCCAGACACTGAGTGATTGGCTATTAGAAAACTCCTGTTATTGCTGTGAGGAAGGCTGACCTAGACTTTGCAACTGATGGTATGAGAGTGAAACAATAGGAGTGTGAGGATTTTGAGATATGGGGTGACCTGTGGACTACGCAAAACAATGTTTAGGGGCCACAGGTGGGAGCAAGAATTGGAAGAGCCAGTCGCAACCAGTGCCAGTCAGTACACTTATCTGGCCAAGTCTTGTGTCTGATCACCAGTCTCTCATCTTTTTATAAATCTTTCCTCTGTGTAATCTCACTCTTTATCCTATACATGCTAGTGCTGTTGAGGACTAGGTGCCAGCTATAGGAGGACCAGCATGAGTGGATACGGAGCCAGCAACTGGAGTCAGACCTGGAGTATAGGTGCCTTGAGCCTGCAGTGTCAAAAGCAGGAGCAGGTGAGGGTCTGGGCTCCAGCCACAGAGGGCCAGGAGCACCATCTATCCCAGCTGGGGAGGATAGGGACAGTGTGTGCCCTGGGTGCAGCTTGGTGAGATTCACTTGCTTCACTGGGTTGAATGAAGCAAGTGAGGCTTTTGGGACAGCATCTGGACTGGGACTGCAGGTCACAGCCTTTGTGTTTGGTGCCTGCTGCTTATGGGGCCAGGCAAAGTGTCTATTCTCACATGGTTTAATCCCACATGTGTTTCTGGCATGTGTAACTGACTAGTTAAAGTTGGACTAGCAGTTCGTGGGAGGCACTAGCAATCAGTGGGAAGGGATATCAGGTGGGTAGAGGGCCCTTGCTGGCATTTGGGAGGGATGTGTGTGTGTGAGGTGTCTTGAAGGTAAGAGTAGCTCTAAGACTAGCATGTGAGAACATGCATCTGCCTGGTAGCAACTTGCTGCCAGCCAGCAGGTAGGAGGCCCATGAGATGGTAAAAGGGCTCTGGACTGAGGCAGAGGGGTATTAGATGGACAGAGAGATATGCTGTGCTGATACTTGATGGATCCATAAATGTGCATGCGCTTGTGAATCTGGAGGGTAAGGGAGGGTGCATACTTTCAATCCTGACCAGATGAAAAGGAGGAAGAGGGCTTGATTGGCTGTACTTAAGTTCTTGTGAGTCTCTGGTATGTTGCATATGGGTGCTGTCGAAGACAGTGCCTTGTCTGTGGCAGCTAGCTGCATAGCTGAGCTTCACAGGTGGTTGAACCTTCCAGTAAGAAAGCAACTGCCATCTACAGATGGAGACCTCCAGGTCCTTGGATGTACCAGGCAGGGCTCCAGCAGCAGGACTGGAAGAATCCCTGGACTGGTCCTGGAGATGCTGGAGGTGGCAGCCACTTAAAACATCCCTTAACATAATACGTAAAAGAAGATTTCATAATACATATTCAATACAATGGTTCTTTATGTGAGTCAGGAGTTCTTGAGCTGTGTGCATCCTGAAGTTGAGAAAACTGTGCTGGCCAAAATACCACTGACCTTTTTCTATTTTCTTGTCTGCTGTTGACCATTAGTAGACATAGAAGAAAGGTCTTATCTATTCCAATAGCTCGACTTCTGTGGCTGCTTTTACAAAACCAGGGTGCTACCGAAGTCTGTAAAGTCAAAAATGCTTGTTTTGCCTTAAATCTAAGAGAAGTAAAGGAGATGCTTTATAAATTCGGAGGTTTATGCCTTAACAGGAAGTTCTTGGCCTCATTCTGTATACCAAGCATTTCAGTGAAGCTCCATTCAAGTCTTCACATTCCAGACTGTAATTCTTTCTCCATTATTATGCATGGTTCTGCAATGTTAATGGAATTCTGCAATATTGTCATATAAAAACTAAACCTTTGTCATTCCAGTGTAGGTATTGCTGAAGTTTGACTGTCTTTAATCTGAACTAGGTTTTTGCATTTAAATCCTAAAGACACAGGAAATAGTTTAATTTGCGGTTAAGATCATGTAAGTTATCTTTTATTTTTAATAAAGCAACAGCTTGATTTAATGAATAGTACTGGGTTCCAGAGCTTTATTCATAGCCCCTAACCAACTGTGTGACAGTAAGCATGTCACTTAACTACAGTGTCCTACTTTCACCATCTGTGAAACACTTTCGGAAGTCATGGAAAACTGAATCATAGGTCTTTTCCATCTCTAGATTCTATTAGGTCATCCAACTGTCCATCTGCCAGTGGGAGATTGTTGCCTGTATCCACCAGTGTTTTTCCAGTCTGGATTATGTCCTTCAAGTGATTAGGCTTCCACCAGTACCTTTGGGAGATGATTTTGCATACTTTTAGACCTCATTATGAGGAAGCTCTTCTGACATTCACAAAAATAGTTTTGGTGCTTTTTTTGGTCTGTTAATTTGATTTCAACTGTTCCTTTGTTCTCATTGTTATATGCTTGCTTATAATTTTAAAATGTGCAATTTATGCCACACCTTAAAGGTCTAGGTAAGATGCAGACTCTCTGTATGGTGTCTAATATAGAGAAGGACAACATAAGGTTTTGAAATGCAAGGTGTGATCCTCTATAGAAAGTAAGTGCCTTAGTTTTTCCTAAAATTACATCTGAGGAAGTGTGCAGACTGCTCCATATGTTATATTTAAGTCTTCACTACTTTCCTGGAGTTCTGGAAGTTCAGCAAACATCATTTTCTTGAGGTGTTGAAGAAGTATCACCATCACTGTGACATAGACTAGATCTAGGTGAAAGTTATCAGAGTAACTAGGTTTCTTTGTACAAAGGTTTTAATTTTTCAGAACTATGAATGTGTCGAAGATGTTTGTGCTCTTCATAACTGTAGTTAAATGGCTTTTAAAATAGCCATCTGGCAAACAACTGGTACGTAACATGATTTATTTGATGCAGCCGTAGGAAGAAAAAACAATATTCAGTGTGTTCAATTTGATAAGATTAGTAAGGCGTTTTGTAATACAACATATATAAACTATATATTTTAGAATAACAAGAAATCAGTTATGGGGACATGTTTTGTAAAGTACCAACTTTTAACAAAATCCACTTGTCCAGGATTTTCAGTCCTCTGTTCCAGCTGCCAATGGAAATGCTAAAGTCTGGGAGTGAAAACTGCATGTGTAGTAACTCTTCAGAAAAGAGAATTGTTTCTTTCTTCTCAAAATCATTTTCATTGTCTTAAACTTGTATATTCACATATGTTGATGGGTTGTGATATAACTTCAGAGTCTAAGATGTGTGTCATTTGAAAGTTGATTTGTAGCACAACAACAGAGGTGATTTAAATAGTTCTGTAAATGAAATCACCCTTCTGCATATTTTGCTGTTGGAAATCTCTATTACTCTCAGTAGCAGAAGATACTTCATAAGGTCTGATCATAAGAAGAATAAATATATCTTTTGTCTCCAGGAAATAAAGCCAGATGAAGTTACCAGACTTGCTCTTAGGACAGAAGTTAATTTTGAAAGTGTCTGCAGAAAGGTAAAGCTTTTTGGTTTTTGTTCTTATTCCCCTGCTTCTGTGAGTGTGAGAGCACTCCTTGGGAAAAGGTACATATGTGGGTTGGAGTGCATGCATTAGCAGTGTGTGTTCTGTATGTTATATTGCATCTTCATTGTAGACCTTATTTTTCTAAGGAAATTTATCCACTAGAACATATCTACAAAAAATTGTGTCTCTCTTTAATACAAGTGGCTTGTCATCTAGGCTGGTGGGCTAATCCTTTCTAACTGAAATAGAATACCAGGAAACATAGTGGTGGGGTTTGAGTCTTTATAAATAAATCTGTTCTGTTTATGTAGTACATATACATGGTTCAGTTAGTGTAAGTAATTTAGGCTTTCAAAAACATTTGGAAAAAGGCTTTAAATACTTTTAGATGCAGAGAGAAGTTTCCAGATGTTAACAAAATGTGACAAGCATTAGCTTGAAATAAAGGTGGAATTTTAACATCCCTATGGCTCATTAATTTCAGTGTGATGTTTCTCTTAAAGCCCTCTGATGGTAGATCATTAAATATTAACTGTCTGTCTAGCGATACCTGTAAGAAATGAAATGAAGACATACAAGTGAGAAGATGCTTGTTGGAATAAGCAGTAGTTGAGGTTAAGTGCTACTGGATGCTCCAGAAGAAAAATGAAGAAGAGCAGAAATAAGTACTGTGTTAAGGGATGTGCTGCAGAAATGATGCCAGAAAACGATTCTGAATCCAAAAATATCAGCAGATGAAATTGTATATTTTTCCTCCACATTATGCTAAATTTTTATGGGAATGAGGACTCTCAGTGAGTCCTCCGCTGAGGGAGTCTGAAATCTTTATAGTCCACAGATTGATTTTTGGTGTAGAATTTTGTAATTTCTTCCAATAATGGCATCATTAGTTTGTAATATAATTGTGCTGTTGCAAAGCACAGTCATGTGTGATGTAGTTCAGCTATTAGCATATTGCTCAGCAGGATTTCCATGCTTCATGTATGCAAACTCAGTTTAATAGGAAAATATCATAGGAATTTGGCATTTCTGGAGAAAAATTTGCATGGAAGCATCTTTACTACTTTTCCTTCTCTTAATGATAGAAGAGAGTAAAGAAAAGGTCACAGATATGCTAACATGGAGCTAAAAAGCAGCATTCTTCTTTAAATTTATTTGACCAAGATTTTCAAGTCTGTAGGTGGGCTAGTTAGAAGCTGGTTACTGTCATGTTAGAAATGGTGCAGAAGTGAAGTTTATGAATGTGTGAATGTGACACATTGAGAGGAATTTCAGATCAAGGGGGGATGCTGAATTCAAATAGACATTTTGTTACTTCCGGTAGGAGTTCTGCCACTAATTCATATACACCAGGCTTATGCTGGTTGTATAAAGTATAGGAGCCCTAAAATGAAATAATTGATGTTTTTGTTTTAAAGGAGTTAACAGGTTTACAGTTGAAATTTTATTTTCTAAGAGGACAGTTTTATTGCAAAGAATAAAAAAAACCCCACTACTAATCTTACTAGCTTATTTTGTCCTATTATTTGTAATGTACTCATATTTATGACTGACTGACTGCTTTCCCTGTTTACTTATTATAGGTTTTCATTTAGCTGTAAGACTTGAAAACAAATAATACAAATAATACAGATATCTTCATGGAATCGACTTTGGTTTTAGAACTGTTATTTCTGGTATTTTCTGCTGCTGGTCCTGTTTTTCAGTTGTATGAAACTCTGTTAATGTCACATTTTATAGTGAATGTGTCTCATGTTTAAAATCAAGTTTATGGATGGGTGCTGATGCTTTTTTAAACCCATAGAGGGTTTTTAACCTTACTGCAGTAGAAGAACATGTACAATTAATTATTACAGTGCTGTTGGCAAGCGGTGGCTAGGCGATCATAACTTTATTGGTTGCTATTGGCTGGCCATAGCATATCCCCAGATGAAGGCAGCATCCTTCCTATGCTTTAAGAAAAGTGGGTTTTTCAGTATATTATTTCCTCTTTTCCCACAGTTAGTTATTAAGCATACAATTTAAAAAAACATTGATTTTCTAACCCTAGCAATATTCTGTAGGTCACATGAAATGCAGACCACACTGTTTACCTTTTTATTAACTTGAGCTTCGAAGTATTTGAAGGAAAACATCCTGTGGCTGTTTTCATTTTCAGGATTAGTTTGTTTTCATTGATAAAAGGCAGTCTGCTTTTAATTCACTTTGGAATGCTGAATATTAGTTTTGCGTAGTGGACATGTAGTCAAGATATTTGTTTAATTCCTTCTGCCCACTGAGATTTTATGTTCCATTACTATGTTTCTCCAATACTTTTCAGAATAGGATAAGCATATTTTTCTATTTAAAAAGAGTTTGCATAGATTTCAGTCAAGTAGAATAAAATTGCACTAAGTGTTTAGCAAGTGGCACTCTGGCTTAAGTTTATATGATTTAGCTGTCAATATTGCTATATTGATGGTTGCATATCAGATTTATGATAGTTGCAGAGTGAGCTGGCAAGAGTCACCAGCCACGTAACAAGAAGACTTCTTCTTTTTCTAATCTTTGGAAAAGTTATAGGGCTTACGATGTTACTGTAAGGCAAGAAGCAGTTGGTGAACAGTCATTCACCTCTGCTGAAATATTTTTAATCCAATTTAATACTGCTGTGGCTGGCATCATTGCTATCAACATGTGATAAATTCTATTGTAGAAATTGTAAGGAATGTTGTCATGCAACTTTATCTAGACTTTATTGTTGGCACTTAGTTACAGCTGTTGAAAAGCAGATCCTGTATTTTCTAGGTTTTGACTAAGGTTTTGTGCACTTTCTGTGCTGTCTGCAACAAATACATTTGCCAGCCATTAATAAAATTAAAAATTTGGCAGATTTGTTGTCTAATGTTCATTTAAACTGGTATTTCTAGCTGTGATTGCACTTCGAAGTGTTCCTTACGACATATATTACCTGCACTGTTACAGGAGGCTTGGTTCATCAGTGTTGTGCTCCAGCACACCAAATTTACAAATCAGAAGCTAATCCTAAAAATGCTATTCATTACAAGCAGGAAACTGACTTGGGAATGACAAACTGACAAACTAACTTAACTGTTATCTTCAACTTATTGCAAAAATAAAGTAACTTAGATACATGAAGATAGACAGGATAGATAGGTTAATATGTATTAATATTTTTACAGTATTAGAAATTGTATGTATCATCTATGCTGTTTCTCCAGAAGAGAGGACATTGGTCCATGTTTGAAGGCCTTCATCATAACCACAGTTGATTTTGCTGCCTTTGCACTATTCTGACAGCTATTGACTAACTTATTGTAGCATCTGTAGTTTTTCTTCCAATACTTTTTGGTATGTAGAACATGAGACAAAACAAACCCTGGGTTTTAAACACTCAGAATGACAGAATTCTGCTCCAACATAATGCTCTCTAATGCAAGTACTGATCTGTGGTGCCGTCTTGCCTTAAAACAAAATATTTCTTATTCTTTTCTGTAGTAAAGTCTGTGTACTTCAAAATTTATGAACTTTCAGATTTGGGGGAGGATGGGAGGGGGAGATTGAAATTGATATTGCAAAGGATTATGGTATTTTGCTTTGTGTGAAGAATAGAGTAGCAGTATATGTTAGTGTCTGAGCTTGAACTAAGCACATGCTTCTGACTTGTAGAAATACCAACAAACATTTGCAGATGATAAACACATCCTCAGTTTTATGCTTCCAGATGCAATCTTTATATAACCTTAGTAGCATAGTTTTCCTATTTTTTGCACTGAGCTGTGATCTGTGGTCCTTGAGAAGTGCACCACCTTTTCCTACTAATTTTTGTATTTTCACCCATTACTCCAATCCTGTAATGTTTGAATCATGAAATGCTTATCTGAAAGGAGGATTTTGCAGAGCTAATTTTGTATATATTGTGATCTTCAAACCAGATCCCTCTGTGGCTCAAGATTACTGAAAAGCTTCCCACAATTTCTAAGTGTGTTGAGAAATTTCTTCTAGACCAGAAATCCAGAACTGCATGCCATTACTAACTCTTAAAAGCACTTTTTTTTCTTTCTTTCTTGCTAATGTAAGGCCTGGTGACCTTGTTTTGGATTGCCTCATGTTCAAGAACCAATTTGGTCTCGTTTGGAATTTAAAAGGCATTTGAAGACTTTAGAAATAGGATCTCGGGCAGCTCACACACAGCCATGCATGATGTGCCAGGATTTGACTGAGCAGCCTGGTGCGCAGTGTGATGTTGGTCATTAAAAGTCTAAGCTGCCTAATATGGGCAGCTGTACTAAACATGATTTTGGAGTGATAATGTTAGTGCTGTCTAGCCCCAGGTCCATGTGTTTTTAATGGATACCCAAAGGCTGTTATGCTACAGTTAAAGTTCTGGGGGTTATTTCAGGGGTGAGTGAATTTAATGTTCATGGCTCTTTACCTACATGTCTCAAATGAATCTGGATCAGGGAACTAACTAAAATACTAAAAGTAATAAGAAGTGTTTTCTGTGATGTATCAAATGAGAGTTCTATTGCTTCACATGTGAGAACACCCTGTTTACCTCCTCAACTCCTCCATGAATCCACTGGATCTCTGGTGTGGGACTAAGGAAGTCCTTCAGCAAGAAGGACATGAGAAGAGGTAAAAGGGTATTTCTGCCCAGGACAGACAAAGACAAAAAAGGTGACAGGGCTGATTATGTATTACCTTTATTTCTTTGAAAAGTGTGTTTAAATCACATTATCAAAATAGCATTTCTCAGATTCATATCACCGTTTTAAACTCTGCAGGTGATGGCCTGAGATTGGTCTGTTTATCAGTCCACAACCTCTCTCAAATTAGCAACCAAAAAAAGATGAAGGACAGGGTAGTCACTGTGCCTGTGCTGGTTTATGTTCTTCTTTGTAAATTTACACTGAGATCACATTTCACACCAACAATCGATGAAAGACAATTTATTAAAGTCTGCTAACTTCATGGCACTAATTAGTAGT